AAACACTTCACTTTATACATGACAACCCTTCAGTTTTTGCTGGGATTCTCTCATATTTTACTATTATATCCTATTATTAGTTATTTTTTCATATTTCTCTCATATTTTTAATCTTAAAAGCATGTTGAAATTAATATAAAAATGTCTGAATTCACTTTCTTTCCATTAAAGCTGTGATTCAGAGATTGCTCATGAGGGACGCTGATCGATGCACAGCCTTAATGGAAAGAAAGTGAATTCAGAAATTTTTATAATAATTTCAACATGCTTTCAAGATTAAAAATATGAGAGAAAATATGAAAAAATAACTAATAATAGGATATAATGGTAAAATACAGGAGAATCCCAGCAAAAACAGGGTTGTCATGTATGAAGTGAAGTGTTTGTCCAACGAGTTTTGCGAGGGAATGCAAAAACTTTCAAAAATATATATTTACCCATCACTCTGTTTTTTTTCTCCCACCCATTTTTTTTTCTCCACAATCAAGTCACTTCCGGGTCTCCATAGATTAGAGATTGTCATATTGAACAACACTTTTTTTCCCGTCTTTGGCAGGGAATATTTACACAAAGTTATTTTATTAAAAAACAAAAACACCAAGTGCAACAGTCTCACACACCTGTATCACATGCTAAAAATAATATTTTATTCTGCTGAAAAGAATAGCAGTGGAAAGTAAAACTAATTTTTGTGTAAACAACTATTTAGAAGGCGACTGTCAACAGAATTTTGCCATTTTCATCTGATTTAAAAAAAAATATATATATATATATATATATATAAATTTTTAGAAAGACAAAAAGAGGCCACACAATAAGAACTTAACAATAAGTAAAATACAGTAAAATAATTCTCTCTAAAATAAACGGCATAGGAAATTATACCTGTCCCAACTGCTCAGAGTGCTGGTGGAGTTCTTCCAGGATGGGCAAGGTTTGTTCCTGAGTACAGTGCTCCAGGATACGCTGTATCACTCTGCAGCCATATGGATGAGTGGACAAAACAAATACCTACACAACAAAATAAGGCCATAAACACACATCATACTACATACTTAAGGCACTCCAGTACACTGCAAAAAATGCTTTTCTTACTTAAATTTTTTCGTCCTGTTTCTAGTCCAAATATCTAAAAATTCCTAAATCAAGAAGAATTTTCTAAACAAGCAAAACATATTGCCTTGTTTTGAGAAATATTATGCCAATATTAAGTCAATTTTTCCTTAAAACAAGCAAAATAATCTGCCAATGGGGTAGGCAAAATAATCTTACGTCAAAAGAAAAAACAAGATTAATTTGCTTACCCCATTGGCAGATTATTTTGCTTGTTTTAAGGAAAAACTGACTTAATATTGGCATATCATTTCTCAAAACAAGGCAATATGTTTTGCTTGTCTAAAAAATGCTTCTTGATATAAGAAATTTTTAGATATTTAGACTAGAAACAAGACAAAAAATCTAAGCAAGAAAAGCATTTTTTGCAGTGTACAATTTAATTAAAATCTATGCTATGGATAAATAGCCCCACTGTCTTGTGATAAGTCTGTTAAGACATAGTTAAGGTTGAATGACACTATTTTTGTTAGAATGTTATTAATCATAGAATAGAAAATGCTTCACATGATAGTTTCGTCAGCTTTGTAATTGTTATATTGGCTGTTGACAGTCTGACAAAGACACTATTTGTACCTGTTGTGTAGACTATATTAAAATGGTTTACATCATTCAATTCACAAGAATCTCAGTGTTCCACAGATGTGGCATGTATGCAATGCACTGCAGGCAGCACACTGTAACAATAAGAAGTTCAATTTGGAAGCACCAAGCATTTTTCCCAGTAACCATAATTTCTTTACAACTGACAAAAGTCGAAAATTAACATCTTGGTGACAAGAAGAGGCAAAGTACATTTTAGAATTTTAGAAACACAGAATGAGGGTGCTATCAAACCTGTAAATCGATTCAGTTCTTATGAAAGAGGGATTAAGATTGTTACATTGTTGCTCTTTGTTCTTGGTGCGGTTCGCTTTCACACCGCAAAATTTCTAAACCGAAAGTCATGTGTGAGTAAGCTCTCCTCACGTTGGTCAGTTTCACTGATTATTTTGCAGAGTCCCGCTCAGCATCAGAGGGGGTTGGTGGTTTGGTGGTATTTGACAAGGTGCATGCAACGTGTTTGAAGAGTGAGGAGAGATGCGGTACGGAGGGGTGAGAAGGGTATATTTGAGGACTGGGAGGGAGATGCGCGATTTCCGGGAGATTATCACTCGTTTGCGGGCATCCGGGAGTCTCTAGTGAATTTGCGGGAGACTCCTGAACTTTCCGGGAGACTTGGAATGTCTGGAATGACCTCCCGCCCTACTCATAATTCTCTCTTCATGTAGTTGTACGCCAATTACATATCCATAAAACACTGTGATATAGCCGGGCTAGGATCGTATAGCTTTCTCACTACAATCGATCCTTTCCAGAGTTCTCTTTAATCGAGCCGAGACCATCTCATTCAAGCGATCTCGGAGCGATTGTTTTGGCGTGGATCCTAGCATGATTGGTGGATTCACATATGTCAAACGAACCGCGCTAACTAGGCAAACGAGACCGGTTCGGAAACAAACGTCTAGGTGTGAAAGCACCCTGAGTGTTTTTGGAATTAATACCTGGCCCTGAAAGGCATCAATGATGAACTGAAGAGCCTGGGGCTGGACACACTCAATACATTTCTGCACCACGTGATTTCCATTCTGATCCTTCACACACTTCAGAACATGGCCATCCAACTCTCGGACAATGTCACTCTGCAACAAGAGTAAGGAAAAAAAAAAAGTAGAACATCTACCATTCATTTACTGTAACCAACTGTAACCAACACTGAATCATTCTGAAACCAACACTGAAAGATTTGGGCCAAATTAAGTGTCAATAAAAAAAAAAACGCATTATTGTTTTGAAAAAAAAAAATGAAATACACAGGGATTTGTTTAAAATTGTACTTTTAAATTTGCAAAAACTTCAAAAAATCTTTTTTTCACATTGTCATTATGAGGTATTGTGTGTGGAATTTTGGAGAAAATAAATTCATTTAATCCATTTTGGAATAAGGCTGAAACACTTAAAAATGCAGAAAACCTGAAGTGCTATGAATACTTTCCGGATGCACTGTAAATGCCTGCATTTATATGATCTTTTTTATTCTCAAGAAGCTGCAAAAGACACAAGTGCAATAGTTGAAAACATTCATTTAATAGGTGCTTTTTCTGAACAAAACTTAGGGATATAGAATAGTAGAATGGAAACATTATTACAGAAGCTTAATACATTTAACAATTCCTAACAATATGTAAAGAAAGCAAAAAAGGCAACTTACAATTACCTGCTGGTCAGAGGAGATGGACTCCAGAGCTTTCTGGATCACACGACAACCATACATCTGCAGAGCAAGTGGCAGCACATGGCCACGGATACGAGTCGCCAGAGCTAGTTTCTGATCTGCACTGCCAAACTACAGAAGAAAAAGAAAGCAGTTACTCTCTAGTTACTTTCAGTGAGCATGATTATAGTCTCTCTCTCGCACACGTGCACACACACACACACACACACACACTTATACATACTTATACATTATATCTTATAAAAATAAATAATACATTAAAATCTAATGTTCTATCTGATGCCAAAATTATACAAAAATTAATAAATGAATGATTTCCCAGTACTGAGGGTTGTATTCAACAAAAACTGTAAGTTCATTCAGCTGTGGCAACCCCTGGTAAAACATGGAATAAATGAACGAATAAATAATTGAATTTTGGAATGAATATACAAAGGATTTTTGAAATAAAGAAATGAATGAAGGGCGATGCAGTGGCGCAGTAGGTAGTGCTGTCGCCCCACAGCAAGAAGGTCGCTGGTTCAGGCCTTGGCTGGGTCAGTTGGCATTTCTGTGTGGAGTTTGCATGTTCTCCCAGCATACGCGTGGGTTTCCTCTGGGTACTCCAGTTTCCCCCACAGTCCAAAGACATGCGGTACAGGTGAATTGGGTAAGCTAAAATTGTCCGTAGTGTGTGAGTGTGAATGAGTGTCTGTGGATGTTTCCCAGAGATGGGTTGCAGCTGTAAAGGTATCTGCTGCATAAAAACTTGCTGGATAAGTTGGCGGTTCATTCCATTGTGGCATCCCCTCATTAATAAAGGGACTAAGCCGAAAAGAAAATGAATGAATGATGACTGAAGGTGAATTTTGGGATATATTTAGAAATGAATGAGTTTTGGAATTAATACATGTAATATTTACTAAACATTTACTAAACTACCTATATCTACTACACTAAAAATAACAAAATTTTTTTTACAAATGAAGCATGTGCACACATTGCTTTGCACCTCATAAACACAACCAAGCCTTAAAAATACACTGAACCACCCCTTTAAAAAGTAGATAAGAACACCATCAAAACATGGATGGATAAAAGTAGCAATGCTATTAAATCCTTAATGCTGATGAATTAACCATCTAACCAATCATCCTGGAATTCTAGAAAGAACACCATTTTTCAAGCATCTATAAAACTGCATTTTTCCACTTTAACATTTTTGGAAAACTAGAAAAAATATGCTATCAATGCCTAATGGATAAAGGCTCTATCATGCTGTTATTGCAGCTAGCAAACGAATTAAACAGAAAAGCAAAAATTTAACATTCAAATCCCAGTAAAACACAGTAAAAATGCAGTAAAACCTGTAGTGATTAGGCAGTTTCTAGACAAAACATTTGAATTACCTCAAAGAACTTCTGTATGACATAGTTGCCAAAAACATCAGTCATGAGTTGGTAAGCAGCTTGTAGAATTTCCCCAAACACCATCTGTCTCTCTGCAGATGTTGCACGTTCCAACTTTTGCTGGATAAACCTGGAAAAAGGCCTTATATTAAGCACTGAAGACATATGATAAGAAAAGGTGTTTCTGGGAATGTAGAAAAAGGGTTTAAACCTGGACCCATGCTGATCTTGAGAGAACTCCACCATGTGTCCAGGCAAGTCTCGTAGTTGCAGGTTAGGAAAACGGTTATTTCGGAAATCCTCTAGTAAGCGGCTGCGACCTGAAGGCATGACATCCGATCGGCTGTATCGAGCTCGTGGAGGGGGGAAAAGTTGACTGCTAGAGCTAAAAAGACTGGAGGTACTGCCCGAGCTTCTGTATTTGGCTTCTGCTCCTGGAGCAGCAGAAATATATCGGCCACTGCCATTGGGCAAACCACCTATGAGGGAAAACAGGATTGAAAATTAAGAAATATTTATTTACTTCTGTAATAAATGTTATTCTGTGTAGAGCTGTAATCGGGCCATAAAAAATTAGGCCCGATGGGGCCCGAGCCCGACAGAATTCGGCCCGAGCCCGACAGGTACATTTTTGACAGCTTTATAAAGCCTGAACCCATTTACAGTCCGACATTATTCAAATGTGCACAGGCACACAGCTATTTTTCCTTTTTTTCCAAGAACGAGTCATTTATATGTTTTAACATAATTTATTCGAAACAAACGTAGGCTATAGGCCACTCGGAAGTTGGAACAAAGAAATAAAATAAGTCCTCTGTAACATCGTAACATCTCAGCACTCTAAATAGGCCTTATAGGAACATACACTTAGGCTTTAAATTGGCCAACATACCAATGAAAAGAAGTCTTTCCTTAAAAATTAAATTAAAATAAATTCACGACGGGTATATGGCTATAATGAAATTAAGATAAAGGATCTGCGGGATTTGTTTCGTCACTTCTCTTCACAATTTGGCCTTAAGGCGACGGTGAAGCTGAATATTAAAAGAATAATGCCAAAATTAGCCTGTATACTCCGTCTACATTATGATTTTATGGTTTAATTAATATTTATTTATGATTTAAAAACCTTTCACTCTCCAAGATTAGGCTACGTGTTTTTGTGGAGAAACATTATTGTATCCACTGGCGTTAGTGCAGTCCTGCGCTCAGGATGGTGTGTCCAGCAGCACAGAACACCCTTTCACTGCTGCTGCTACAGGCCGAGATGCATAGTTCTGATCAGGCTAATTTGCAATTTTTGGGTACGATTGTTTGTTCATCTTCTACCAGCCATAAATATCCATTGAATTTTCCCTGACAGCAGTTTCAATGTAGCACATGACGTTTTCTTTTAACCTGTCAGCTTGCTCGTAATACGCAGTGTATGAGCGACCGCCGAAATACCTTAGCGGCTAGAATGACCGTTCCTTCTGAACAGCACACTGGCTGGACCGCAACCAAAATTCGCTCCTTTTAACTTTTCCGTCATCATTTGTTTCACCTTTGCATGGATGGATTTTAATGTTGTAACAAACGATTTGATTACTTTCTCGCACTAATCGAAATGCATCACATGACTGTTCATCAAAGATCTTCAGCTCTAATTCTGTAATCATTGAAAACCCAAATAACAACAATTCACAGGCTAAACTCTCAGAAGTGATTTCAAATTATACACATGTACAGCTTGAAAAAAATTGCACATTCTTTTCCAGAAGGTGGTGCTTATAAAATTGGAGAAAAAACTGAATTTAATTGGTTAGTGCTTTGAACAAAGTAGCTGCATTGGTATATTTAATGTAATATAGCAAAATAAATTACTATTTAAGGATTTTTGAAGTAGCATTCATTAATAACTTTTATAAAATGCCCACAATATGTAGAATTATTTTTTTATTTTACAATTTGACCTTTACTTTTTTGGCACAGGGTGAAGGGTATATCTGCATCTTAGGGACCTCTAAACAGTAACGGGAACACCTAATGAGATGGGTGGTCTAAATAGGACCTACAGTGTAGTGCCTCTACTATCCATATTAGTCCTACTTGAAATGAATTCTGATTTCAGTCAGTCAGTTTGTTAGTTAAACCAAGGATTCATACCTAGGTGGATACTGGATGAGGATCCATGCGAGGAGGGTAAAGAGGGTGGAGGTGTCAGAGGTGAGTGACCAGGTGTCAGTCCAATGGGGCTGGGAGAGGAGGAGTATCCAAGACTGTTGTAAAAAGACTGGCCGATGGGAGTCAAGCTGCCACCGCCACCCCGCTTATACAGCTCTGAACTGGCCAAAAGTGAGTCCCGACGAACTGCGCTGCTGTTAGTGGAACTGGACACTGCAAATGTAAAAGAATAAGAAGAACAGTGAACAGAAGTACAAAATGAGAACAAAATGATTTAGAAAAATCAAAACAAGACTAAGGCTCTCTATCAAAACCATTTTCGTAGACTAAAATGTGATCGGCACATCATAAGTTGACTTTGCAAATAGCGGAACTGACCTGAGGAGCCAAATGCACCAAGAGCAGAGCCTAATCCAACACCTAAAGATCCACTAGTGCTGCTGAAACCAAGAGAGGTGCTAGGTGGAGGAGCTGCACTGGTATGGGAGAAAAGTGAGCTGCTCTGGGAACTGGGTGCTACAGAACCAGAGCCATAGAAGGAGTTTGAAGGCAGACCGCTGGAAGGTGGAGGAAGCTGCTGCTGAGGTTGAGGCTGCTGGGGTTGTTGGCATGCCATGGACCGGTATAGACCATTAGCAGGACCAGACATACTATTACCAGAGCCTGATACAGATGCAGCTGCAGCTAGACGAGAAGTAAATGTTGAATAACATTAAAAGCAATACAAGTAATACACGTATAAAGAAGTCACATTTTGATTTAATGAGTTAGGCCAGACTAAACAAACAAAAAAAAATCCTAAAATATTTTCCATTTAAAAAAACAAAACAATTGGCATACTCACCAGCTTGTGCGGCTGCTGGGTTGATGAGGAGAGGGGTTTGGACCAGTCGAACAGGTCCACCCAGGCCAGTGCGAGTTCCAGGACCCATGACCAATGCACCAGTCTGATCATAATAAGCAGCCGGCGCTAGGACCTGGTAGCCTAATTTAAACACAGACACATCGTTTATCTTTATGCAACCTTATGTAAACATTTAGCATTTCTTTAATTTTTTGTTCATGTTCTGAACATATTTTTTAAATAATATATACATAACAATTAGTGCGTTAACGCATGCGGTTAATTTGAAATATTTAACGCGTAAAAAAATAATTACACAATTAACGCAGTTGGAGTTTTTTTTTCCCGTTATGGTCGACAGTGGTGGAAAGAGTATTGAAAAATCATACTCAAGTAAAAGTACCATTACTTGCCTAAAAATGTAGTGTAAGTAGAAGTATCAGTTGTAAATATTACTCAAAGTATGAGTAAAAAGTAGCCCTTTCTAAAGTACTTAAGAGTAGTGAGTATTACGCCGTGAAAAGCTAATGCATTTACACGTAATTTGTGGATGTTTGTACACGTAACATTCTGTAGTGCATTTAGTTATTGCCCAGCAGGTACACAATGTCATAAGATGTTATTATTAGGTTAGATTTAGGTTGTGATGTCAAGTGACCAAAATCCGTTGAGCCAACATCTTAAATATTGATCATATTGATGTTAAATACTGACATTTATTCGTCAGGTATGGCAAACAAAAATCTGAAATGTGATAGACATTGTGGTAACTTCAACACAACGTCAAGCTGTGACATCATTAGACGTTGATATGTGGTTGGTTTTAGGTTGGACATTGGCCTGACGTTAAGTTCTGACGTCAACATGATTTTCATATTCAAACAAAATGCAATGTCCCCATGACGTTAGGGTACAACGTCAATTTGACGTCATGTTGACGTCTTGTGTTTGCTGGCTGTCATCACACAGTAAACATCTGTCATCTTCTCATCAGTGACATGCATCTAAACAGTCTCTAGGTCAATGCGTTTAAAGATTTTGGACATCTTCTTGGACACTTTTAGTGCTTTCAAACAGTTTGCTGCATTTATAAAGCGCCCATGTCTTGAGGTAGTTCATTATGATGCGATTTACATATGTGCGATCTGACCGGACAGGAATCACAGGACTGAACTTTCTAATCCCCTTAGACAAGAAAACTTAATTACAGTACTTTAAGTATTTGTAATTAGTTACTTTACACCACTGGTGGTCGACATGTGTTTCACATGCAACGAAATATAGATAAGACCAAGGAAGCACTTTTAAAAGGAAAGTTTCAGTATAAAACAATGTTGCATTAGCAGGCTATCCAGCGTTTCCTCCAGAGTTTCATCTAATTTCGTATGTTTCCTTTTTAATCTTTCGACTTTTGTTTTAATGGAATTCGATACCACATGACGAACGGAAAGACTCGGTGGTCCATTATGGTAATCAAAAATTGCTGTTTACATGGTAGACTCCTAATAAGTGTATTATCCTAATCATATTAAATTCAGAGTATTGGTATCCATGTAAATGTATCAGTAAAAGTGCCAGATGATGTTGCGAGCTGTTAAAGACAGCCCCTTCATTTGCCTTTCAGCATGCGCCCTCAAATGTTTCATTAAGTTTGACGTGTTTCCACCTTAAACGCAACTTTTGTAAAGCGTCCGCTTTACATTGCTGAGTCAGAATCCTTGTGAAATACAGCCATACTTAGTTTAAGCAAATTTGATAAACGAGATCATGCGTGTTGAATCTGAAGAGAGTCACTCGGGCTGCGGTGTCCTGCACACGTTGTGTGTGTGTGTATAATAATTTAATAATAGGACACTGATACAATTCTAACATTTTTGGCTCAATTCCTCAACGCAATGGATTTGAAATTAAACGAACAAGATGTGCTATAACTGCAGACTGTCTGCTTTAAAAATCAGGTACATACAAATCAGGCCAACGGTGTAGGAATTACAACAGTTTGCATATGTGCCTCCCACTTGTTAAGGGTTCAAACCTAATTGAACAATTGGCTTCGAAGCTGTTCCATGGCCAAGTGTGTATTATTTCCGCATTACCCCAATTACAATGAGCAGATTAAAGGTCCAGAGTTTATTTCAAGTGTGCTATTTGCATTTGGAATCTGTTACTGTCAACTCTCAAGATGAGATCCAAAGAGATCAGTCAAGCAAGCCATCCTTATGCTGCGTTCACACCGGACGCGGCACGAGCGTCAAGCGCGAGTGATTTACATGTTAAGTCAATGCAAACGCGCGAATAGACGTCCTGCGGCGCGAATGACGCAAATTTCGCGAATGGTGCGGGGCGAACTGAGCGTTTTCCACGTCTGAAGTGCTTAACGAGCGTTTCGCGCGAATCTCTCGATTTCGAAAATCTGAACTTCAGCGTAAATTCGCGCCGCGTTAACCAATCAGAAGCTTGCTCTTGTGGGGGCGTGATTGTGACGTAGAACCTGTTGTCGGTGTTCCGAGGGAAATCCTCCAGCCTTCACCGACAACAGTTTATCAAACTCGGCTTGGCGCAGTCAGAAGCACCGCAGAAAGCCTCCGTCATCCAGGTTAAATTTCTGGAGGAGTTTATGAGCTCACAGAGCTGGATGCACCTCTGAAAGAATGTAGTGGACTCAGACACGACCCTAAACGTATCGACGCTGTTTTTCAGTCTTCATAAAGCACATAAACACATTATTTTCTTCATAAAATCCATGTTAGCCATTTAGCTATGAAGCTAGAGTCTTCGGTCAGACAGAAGCCCTGCCCATCTCGCGAATCCGCGTCTGTTCTGAAGTGAATTTGACACGCAAATTAAGCGAGTAAACTCAAATGTTCACGCGGCTATTTACGCGCGAATAGCGCGATTTATCCGCACGTTCCGGGTCTGGTGTGAACACAGCATTAGGCTGAAAAAATAAAACCCATCGGAGAGATAGCAAAAACATTAGGTGTGGCCAAAACAACTGTTTGGAACATTTTTAAAAAGAAAAGTTTCACTGGTGAAGAAAACATCCTTCACAACAGTTGGCCAGATCAAGAACACTCTCCAGGAGGAATATGTGTATTCAATGGGACTATGCATTACTTTATGTAGTTTAACTAACCTACTAACTACATTCTGCCTTAAGAACTTGTGGTGTAACCAACGTAAGAAAAAAATGTTATAAACTTGCAAGCAGTTAATCAGCATCTAGTGTGGATTTTATGTTCCAGTTTAAGCAAGAACTCATGAACAGCTGGTGCAACCATATCCTGCTGAATATAACCAGGGGTCACCAAACTTGTTCCTGGAGGGCCAGTGTCCTGTAGAGTTCAGCTCCAACCCTATTCAAACACAACTGAAGACTCCATTGGAGCTCTTGTTGAGGCAATTTGGAGCTAAAATCTGCAGGAACACTTAGTGATTTGGTGATGCAAAAGCAACTAGAATATTAAAAACCTAACATCAGATTGATTCTCCAAAAAATTCACTTGTATTAAAAGAATTACATCTATATCTCACCAACATTGTCTTTTCACCCCTTGATATTTTTTTCTGAAACCTAAAACGGTATCAGATAATTGACTTATATTTTAATTTATTTTAATTATGCAGGGCACAGACTTATTGGTATTAATGACCATTTACATATTAACTACTGCAAAACAACATTTGATGACTAGAGAAGGACAATGGCATGTTAGTTCTTTAGCCTTGAAAAAAGCTCAAAACAAAGTCTATTTCTACTAGTTATATGTATATGACACATAAGTTATGATACATATACAAGAGAACAAGTTTAAACTAAGAGAAAAATCATCAAATCATGACTAACCTGACATGCCTGGAAAGGCCAGTGTTGGGTTTGTGGCAGCTGCAGCAAGCGACTCCTGCTGACTCTGTTGGCTCTGTCCTGGAGTTAAAGGTCGTTGATTGGACCCTGCTCGAATCACCTAAATGGGAGAGGAAAGTGTTATTTAAAACAGCCTTAAAGTAATTCAGTAGCTTCTTAAGCAAACAAACTTAATTGTTTTATAATCATTTTTAGTAATATCAGTTTCAATTGAAATGCATTGTGCTCTGCAGGGCATATATAGAGAATGAGACTTTTTGGTAAAAACCCCAAACAAAATAGACCAAAATCCTCAAATATATTTAATGAATATATTCAAACCAATGATTGACACATTACTGAGCACAAGGAGTTTTTATCACTGCAGACATAACAAAAGTACTGTCGCTATTGATTTAGTGAGCAATGCATTAAACAAAAAGATGCCATTAAAGCGAGAAACTGGATTATTTAAGAACAATGCTAAGCTCACTGCATTCAACACAATAATAAGATATATTGAATAACAATGTGATATGTTGAATAATAATGTGATATGTTGAATAATAATGTGATATATTGAATAATAATGTGATAATTGAATAATATTGTGATATGTTGAATAATAATGTGATATATTAAATAATAATATTTTATGTTGAATAATAATGTGGTATGTTGAATAATAATGTGATATGTTGAATAATAATGTGATATGTTGACTAATAATGTGATATGTTGACTAATAATGTGATATGTTGAATAATAATGTGATATGTTGAATAATAATGTGATATATTAAATAATAATGTGATATGTTGAATAATAATGTGATATGTTGAATAATAATGTTTTATGTTGAATAATAATGTTTTATGTTGAATAATAATGTGATATGTTGAATAATAATGTGATATGTTGAATAATAATGTGATATGTTGATTAATAATGTGATATGTTGAATAATAATGTGATGTGTTGATTAATAATGTGATATGTTGAATAATAATGTGATATATTAAATAATAATGTTTTATGTTGAATAATAATGTGATATGTTGAATAATAATGTGATATGTTGAATAATAATGTGATATGTTGATTAATAATGTGATATGTTGAATAATAATGTGATATGTTGAATAATAATGGGATATGTTGATTAATAATGTGATATATTAAATAATAATGTGATAATTGAATAATATTGTGATATGTTGAATAATAATGTGATATGTTGAATAATAATGTGATATATTGAACAATAATGTGATATATTGAATAATAATGTGATATGTTGGATAATATTGTGATATATTGAATAATAATGTGATATGTTGAATAATAATGTGATATGTTGAATAATAATGTGGTATATTGAATAATAATGTGATATATTGAATAATAATGTGATATGTTGGATAATAATGTGATATGTTGGATAATAATGTGATATGTTGGATAATAATGTGATATATTGAATAATAATGTGATATATTGAATAATAATGTGATATATTGAATAATAATGTGATATGTTGAATAATAATGTGATTTATTAAATAATAATGTTTATGTTGAAATAATAATGTGATATGTTGAATAATAATGTGATATGTTGAATAATAATGTGATATGTTGATTAATAATGTGATATGTTGAATAATAATGTGATGTGTTGATTAATAATGTGATATGTTGAATAATAATGTGATATATTAAATAATAATGTTTTATGTTGAATAATAATGTGATATGTTGAATAATAATGTGATATGTTGAATAATAATGTGATATGTTGATTAATAATGTGATATGTTGAATAATAATGTGATATGTTGAATAATAATGGGATATGTTGATTAATAATGTGATATATTAAATAATAATGTGATAATTGAATAATATTGTGATATGTTGAATAATAATGTGATATGTTGAATAATAATGTGATATATTAAATAATAATGTTTTATGTTGAATAATAATGTGATATGTTGAATAATAATGTGATATGTTGATTTATAATGTGATATGTTGAATAATAATGTGATATGTTGAATAATAATGTGGTATATTGAATAATAATGTGATATGTTGGATAATAATGTGATATGTTGAATAATAATGTGATATATTGAACAATAATGTGATATATTGAATAATAATGTGATATGTTGGATAATATTGTGATATATTGAATAATAATGTGATATGTTGAATAATAATGTGATATGTTGAATAATAATGTGGTATATTGAATAATAATGTGATATATTGAATAATAATGTGATATGTTGGATAATAATGTGATATGTTGGATAATAATGTGATATGTTGGATAATAATGTGATATATTGAATAATAATGTGATATATTGAATAATAATGTGATATGTTGAATAATAATGTGATATGTTGAATAATAATGTGATTTATTAAATAATATGATAAAAATATTTATAATTTTGTTTAATTATTATATGTATATGTCTTTTTTTTACTACTACTACTACTATTTACTAGGGCTGTGCAATTAATCGAAAATCCGATTTCGATTTTGGCTTCTAACGATTACGAAAAACCATTAATCGAGATAAACGATTATTCCATTATTTACCGCCCCCTTTCCAGTTGTCCTAACTTGTTGCTCTTAAAAGCGCGAAGTGCGAAATGCGGTCAGCACTTGGTCTCATTCGCACATTGCGACAAGCAGAGAGCACACACAGAGAGCACACAGAGAGAGAGAGAAAAAGAATGGAACTCGTTTTTATGTAAAGTGGAGGGAAATGTATCAACAGTTCTAATATATGTAGAAATAAATATGCCATTCACCTGTTGCCCTGGACCCTGACTGGATGCCTGCTGGTTAGCAGAATGACTGGCAGCAGCTGTAGCTTGTTGTTGGAAGAGATTGGCTGGATACACACCCCAAGGGACCCCATAGTACTGGGGCGGAACTACAGCTGGACCTATAGGATATATCATAAAAATCAGGTCGAAGAAAAACCATATTTGAGATGCCAAGACCAGTGGTTTCCAACCTGAGAGGTCACTAAAGACATATCACCAAGCTCACTCTAGTTTGAGGATTAACAGTAAGAATAAAATAGATACCAATTTGATGATGAAATTCCAGACAATAATTAGTATTGTACCATTTGATATTGTAATTATGATTTAAAACACAATATTACCTTAATTGCTGCACTGTTAACATAAAATAGACAGAAGGCAGCTCATATAATCTATCCCATAAAGAAATATCCGTTTTAAAAATACATTTTGTAAGAATATAAGAGAGCACAGAAGATGTACAGAATTTAGCAAGCAACATAGCACCTGTAGATAACGTCACCCCACACTTCTTTGATAAAGCCAGAGAGCAGAAATTGTAATAATTTGCACTAACTAGGAGCAAGACAAAAGAAAGGCAATACACTGTGTGGAACTAATGGCCCGTTTCCACTGAGTGGTACGATACAGTTCAGTTTGGTACGCTTTTGCCTCGTTTCCACTGACTGGTACAGTACGGTAGGGTTCGGGTCGGTATGGGTCACCTTTATCAGGCTTGCGTTTCCACCACAAAGGGTATCCTTTTCCTGGGCGTGGTGTATGACAAAGTTTAAGTCGATGTCATGCTCGCTTGAATAAATGTCTACAGTAAAGCTGTAAGGGTCGTTCACATATCATAATGAGCAGCACTTCTCACAAAACAGATGCTTTATACACAAAAAATACTTGTTTATTAAGGGTGTCACGATCCTCCAAATCCTCGATTCGATTACATTTTCTATTCTAAAGGCACGATTCGATTCGATTTTCGATTATGAATAATTAATTAATGACCAATTAATTATTTGTAGCCTACCGTTTAAACTACCTGACCTGCATGGTCTTTGTTTTACCCATAAACAAATCATACAGTAAATGAATAAAGGCAAGTTACACCAATAATTACCACCTGTCAATCACTTTTTCTGCGGGACTAGTGAATAGGCAGTGATCTGTGTCGTTATAATGGCGTCGGTAAAAAAGACGCACAACCAACAGGAACCAGCCAACAGTATCTGAGGTGTTCGCTAAAATGACCAAGTACAAGTGAGTGAAAGATTAAAGCAGTCCTCTGACTGCCTGGACCTGCTGTCTCGAGCGCATGGCTGTGTGTGCGTCTGTGTCTGTGTGGTCACGTGATGTGCATTTTCAGAGGTAGAGAGGAAGGAGGGCTGCTCAGAAATGCTACATGCCACTGTGGATGTCAAATCATTGTCGTTCTAAAATGCCATTTAAAAACAAAGACAGTGTAAACAGGGCCTGAGTGTGTACTTTTCGCGAGCGGATTTGCAACGGGGGCGGGCGGAGGATTGCGATGCTGGTGTTGTCTATCGGACGAACCGTACGTAATACGTACAAAGCAGAGCTTGCAAAACTGTGTTTTTTTTTGTCGACAACACGAACGTTGTCAACATAACTCACTGGAAATCCAAAATGCTTACACACCGGCCACTTCATTGAAAGAGGAGAGGGTTTAAGTTCTGTCGACGGGTCTCCTGCTTCTGCAGTTTAACAAGCACTTCAACAAGCCTGTTTTTTCCCGCTTGGCAAGCCAAGCTGACGTGACATGGGGGCGTGGAAGCATCGACGATTCTATTTTTTGATTCGATAATCGAAATTGAGCATAAATTTCGATCGATTTAGATTAAAAATCTAAATCTTGACACCCCTATTGTTTATAAATGTTTATTACTAACTTTTCTATGAACATTAGTTGATTATAACTGCAGTTCAATGATGAAACAGGCTACTGTAACGTCTGTAATTATATAAAATAAATACATAAATGCAGCATATATGAACACATACCACCCCTTACAGTCTTCTATATATTATTAATTACAGAAAGCATACACACAGCAAACATTTAGTTCTTATTTGAGTTCAAAAACACACGCAATATATCCCACAGTCAGCGCAAACCTCTCATCTGTGTCTGTAATCTTCACCAGCACATGTAAGCTCTGTTAGAGAGTCATTCTGTCATTCCCAGTTCATAATAATCCAAAAGATGAAGATAAACATGGCAGTTTGTTCATGATTCAGGTTGCTAAAACAATTTTGCTCCTGTGTTTTGACGGCTTCTCTTTTTTTTCGTGCTTCACTCTCCCTTCACCTGTGCTTGTCCTTTTTTTCTGAATGGATCAGATGACGGAGACACCTCAATAATCACACACACGTTATTATCATCAGCTCAAGAAGTTCATTATATCAAATATTGAAGCGACCGCAAGCTCCCGGAAGAAAGCGAATACCGCTCGCACTTTTAGACGGGCTCATGAAACAACAACAGGACACGGCAGATTTTTCTTCTTGGCTTTGTGTCTGTTCATCGAGACGATGACAAGGTTTGTTTGAGCCCGGGTCATCCCATTATTATATGCATATAGTATTTTCAAGTAATGTCTCAGGTTTGTATTTTAAAAAAAAACATGGCGGTTCCTTTGTTTACGTTTTGTCTAGCTCCACGAGCTCGTGACGTATCTCTGTAACCGATCAGCGTTCAGCTGCAAGTGTAGCTCTACCTTTTGGTACCCTTTTTCCTGTTTGGTACCCTTTCGAAAGAGTGCCAAAAAAGTGGTACGGTACGGTTTGGTTCGGTACGCTTTTTGACAGTGGAAACGGCCATAAAAGTGTACCAAACCAAACCGTACCACTCAGTGAAAACGGTCCATTTTATGGCCGTTTTCATTGTCAAAAAGCATACTGAACCGAACCGTACCACTTTTTTGGCACCCTTTCGAAAGGGTAACAAACACAGCATTGTACAGCGTAAATATATATACATATAATAACGAGCCATGGTTGACCCGGGCTTAAACAAACCTTGTCATCGTATTGATGAACAGCCACAAAGCCAAAAAGAAAAGTAGATTTACCCTGTGCCCCTTAGTTTTTTACAAGCCGGTCTGAAGCTTTCTTGCTTGCGCTCACCGCGTGTCTATATCTGAAATGACAAACTTCTTGAGCTGATGATAATAAGGTGCGCTTGATTATTGATGTTCTTTTGAAACCCGATGCTGTCCGACACTGACAAACGTGAAAGTAAAGCGCAAAAAAAACAAAGAAAAACCCGGAAAAAAAAGCACATTATTTTTTCAGCAAACATGAACAAACTGCCCTGTTTAACTATTATCATCACCTTCTGAACTATTATGAACTCAGAAGGACTCTCTAACAGAGGTTACATGTGCTGCTGAAGATAACAGACACAGATGAGAGGTTTGCTCTGACTGTAGGCTATATTTCGTGTTGTTTTTGAACCTAAATAAGACCTAAATGTCTGCTGTGTGGAGTTCTCCTGTAGTTGGTAAAATATCAGAGACTGTAAGGGGCGGAATGTGTTCATAAATGTTGCACTTACTTATTTAATATAATTATAGACCTTAAATTATTCTATTTCACACTGTCATTGATCTGCAGTTATAATCCACTCATGTTCATAGAAAAGTTAGTAATAAACATTTATACAGAAGTATTTATGTGTATAAAGCGTCTGTTTTGTGAGAAGTGCTTCTCATATGATGTGTGAACGTCCTGTACGTCTTTACTGTAGATGTACTGATTGTACTTTCTAGTTTTTAATGCTTAGCAATGTTTTTTCGCGCACATATTTGCGCAAATGCATTTGCTATTTAAACAGCGTGGTGCAAAACGTCAAAACGACTCAGAGCTTGCGCAGAGCTGAAACTAACAAACAACAATTGTGTCGCACCTTGCGCCGGGTGTATGATCGGGCCCTGAATGTTTAACAAATGATATATTAACTATTTGCTAATGCTTAACAAATGGTTCATAGTGTGCAGTTATTATAAAGTGTTACCAAGGTGGGTACATGCACATACCTGCAAGTGTTGCAGCTGCTGCTAATCCTGCAGCAGTGTAGGGGTCTGCTCCAGGAGGGGCAGCATTGATGATGTAAGGGTTTGGCACAAATGCAGGTGCAAGGCCTATAAGAGCAAATAAAAAATATATACAGAGTATAAGAGACAAAACAACACTGGTAAAATTTGTTTAAAAGTGCATGTTTTGGTCATTGTTTGGGTAGCACAGGCAATAAAATTAAGCCACTGAAAAGTGGTTTACAATGGCAAGGCAAGTTTATTTATATAGCACAGGGGTCATCAACCCTGTTCCTAGAGAGCTACCTTCCAGCTTATTTCAGTTGCAACCCTGACCAAACACACCTGTTTGTAATTATCAAGTGCTGCTTTAGGTACTATTAATTGGTTCAGGTTTGTTTGATTAGGGTTGGGACTGAATTCTGCAGGAAGGTAGCTCTCCAGGAACAGGGTTGGTGACCCCTGATATAGCACATTTTATACACAATGGTAATCCAAAGTGCTTTAAATAAACAAGAATAAAAGAGACACTTCTAAGAAAATAAAAACAAAGAATAAAATGATTACAAACACATTAAACAGATTAAAATATTTTAAATAGGTTTTTAAAAAATGAAAAGAAAAAAAAAAGACAATAGTAGGGCAGCTCGATTATGGGGAAAATCATAATCAAGATTATTTTGGTGATAAATGTATTCACAATTATTCAAAACAATTTTGATTTGATGTCAAAATTATTATTATTTCCCAAATGAGTTTTACAGTAAGTTTGATAATATTTTTTCTTCTGGAGAAAGTCTTATTTGTTTTATTTAGGCTAGAATAAAAGCAGCTTTTAATTGTCTAGACAACATTTTAAGTTTTTTTTTCCCGATAGTCTACAGAACAAACCATCGTTATACAATAACTTGCCTAATTACCTAAACCTGCCAAGTTAACCCAATTAACTTAGTTAAGCCTTTAAATGTCACTTTAAGCTGTATAGAAGTGTCTTGAAAAAAATCTAGTAAAACATTATTTACTGTCATCACGGCAAAGATAAGTAAAATCGTTTTTTAGAAATTAGTTATTAAAACTATTATGGTTAGAAATGGGTTGAAAAATCTCTCCGTTAAACAGAAACTCGGGAAAAAAGTGGGCTAATACAGGGGGGCTAATAATTCTGACTTCAACTGTATACATATATATATATAGTTCTCATTCCCACAGTATGCTATATTCTGCATGCCACAGAAAAAACAACCCATGTCCACCCTTTGCAGATTCCCTAGCAGGAAGAATGTAAAGCAGTCAAAATTTGTTTTCAAAAGACCTGTCAATCACTGAAACAAAATTCCTGGAGTTTTAAATCTGAAATGGTGTGTGCAGCATTTGTAAATGTGTTAACATTTTAATGTTTAAATTATTGAAATATATAAGATACACTTGCTTGTTACAATATTGCTTTGAAGTAAGAAAAAAAATATAAGATTTGAAAGTTCACTCAATTGTAACTAAGTTGGTTTGAAAAGCATTTCATATAAACGGTTAACTTGCACAATGCTTAAACATATATGGAAAACACACACAACATATATCCTTTGAACAAAAAAGGATCTTTGTGCATTGCTGCTGTATGCACATTCATTAATAGGTCTTAATAGATGCATCTATTACTTGTTCTGCTCAGGTTAAAAAGGTTTATTTATTTAATGTATATGTTTTTTCATTATTATTATTATTATTTATAGATTCATTTATTAATTTATGCTTTTACTTATATGATTTGCACCACCTGGTGGTGGTTTCACAAACGGCTGGTACATGAAACTCTTGTTAAGTTAATTTCTTTGCCATGTGGCAGCAGTACACACAGATGTACTGTACAAGATGTAAAGTTTACCAAGGTGTTGCTGTTGGGCTGCAGCAAGGGCGTACTGTTGTTGCTGTGCTGCATTCAGCTGCTGAACTGTGAGATGACTGGATCTCTGGAACAACTAAAGAAGAAACAAAATGTAAAACAAATGTAAGTTATTTTGGAAGATTGTGCCACTTAAGTAATTCATCAAGAATGTATGAATTCATAAGAAGTGACAGCAAACGCATGTTTAATGCTACTAATCATATAAGTTTTAACAGATTTCATCATCTTTCTAAAACTTCCATCATAGTTGCTCTTTTGCATTTAAAGAATATTTACAATAACATCTTTAAAGTGTCACGAAACACCAAAACACATTTTTTGAGCTGTTGACAGTCGTATAAGTGTACCACACTGCTAAAAACACTATTAGGACACCTATATTTCACTAAAAAGTGTAAATTGGTTGTTTTTGCATTATTTCAAGCAAATTCGTATTTCCGGTTTGAAACTAATTTTTTTGAAGCTGCGTCACGGTCATGATACGTCTGTACCAGAGTGTGCCTTATTATGTCTCAGAGTGTGCTGCATTAACGCACGAGTAAGGCTTGGTTCAAACCAATCAGCCTGCTCTATTGTGCAACTTCATTAATATTCATTACTGTCAGTGTTTAGACGACAGAGAAACCACGTTGTGTTGGCAAAACAAGCGTGAAGTGTTGCTTTTATAGTTTGCTGCAGTTAAGTTTTGTTTTTATTTTCCCTCTGTGAGAGCGCAGCTGGAGTCACGCGTGGATTAACAGTGTACGCGACGCTCGACAACAATAACTTAACTTACGTGTCTAAAGAGGAACTCTTACTTGAGAGCTGTTCTCATCTGCAAACGTTGAGATCCGGATTCGCTTGTAGTCTCCTCTAAATAAAGACGCGGCTCTAGTTGCTGGTGATTGTCCTGTCTCTACAGATTTGGTAAGTGAGCGACAAGTGCTCTTTGTTTATTCAGTTTGTTTGTATCGAACTAACTATTGCACCAAGAATAAACATGTTAGCACCACAACCAAACTTTAACCTCGTGTAGGATTTTCACCGCACTTTGTGACCAGAATAACACACGCGGCTTTCTGACACTACCTGCCGTGTGCCCTTTAAGTTTCTGGAAAATGCTGAGGGTTTTTTTCTCTCATTCGCCATGCAGTATCAAACATTGCATGAAAAATACACGCTTAGAGCAGTTCCTCGAATCAAATATTTCATTTGTCGTGAGGGGCATGAAAGAATTCCCTGAATGAAAGAGCCAAACTGCAGTTAAAGTCTACCATTTAATAATTTGGCAAATAATTCAACTACAGATGTCCATGTAAACACAGTCCCTTTCTTCTATATTTATTAAGAATATATTTAAAAATATATATTTAAACTACTTGAAAACTGCAAAGTTTAATTAAATATTTTGTTATTTAATAATGTACCTGCTGTTGAGAGTCGTAGTTAAATAGGCCGACTGCAGCACCTGATGAGTCCAACTGGATCTGATTTCCACCATAGTCAAACTGAAGAGCCTCCAGCCCCGCCTGCTGCTCCATGCCACCCATGTTCTGGGCTTCCTGACTCTGGAAGTCTTCAGGAGGAGGTTTGTTTGTAACAGGGTTGGGTGCCTGCAGAGTATGCTGGTGGTGTTGCACCATTATTTCCAGCCCAGCCTGACTGGGTCCCAGTCGTTCTACTGCTTCTGTGGGGGATGCCTGGCGACTACCTGGAGTGGGGCTAAACAAAATAAACTTTAAATTCAAAGAGTGCAAACTGCTTCCATCGTTGAAAGTTCACAACCATTTCACAAATAATCTGTCAACAGTACATACAGAGACTCGGTATGGTACCAAGCAATGCTGGCTCAAAGCTACAACCTCAAATCATAAATAGTTAAGATAATATGAAAACGCTAATAACAAAGTAGTAATTTCCAAATTCACTTTGACTTGTATTTCATTGCAGACAATATGAACAAAAAATGTTCATGTTTTATTAGAAACTTAATTTAATATGTAAATATACATCATTTCCTTTCAATCAAACTTGCAACCCATTCCAAAAAAAAAGTTGGGACTAGGGTTGCACAGATAGACGATGACATGGTCCATCACCGAAGGCCGACAAACTTTACGATGCTGAGCCAGCATCGCGATCCATCGCCCCGCCCCACATTTATATAGATATATAACTTATCATTTGCATGTCATGTTAATAGCAATAACGGTCTTATGAGCTGTGTTAAATGTTACATATAGCTGCCGCTTGCAGGCTGACAGCATTGTGAGATTAAATGAAGGATTATACAGCACCTCTTACGCTTAAAATGTGTAGATTCAGTGGTAAACACTGTTACCTGCAAACAACGTCCCAAAGACTTTACAGTGAATGACTTTAGTTATTTTCATAGTAGACTTGAAACACTGGAAGTCTTTTATCCACTCTTGGAAAAGTGTAAATGGTGGATTAACATTCAGCACATGATCACTTATAAGATGTGCCATTATTAGTAACTGTGGGTAAATCTGTCAGTGTTATTTTCATTCTCTCTTCTTCAGCGCTTCACATTTTTACGATTGTAGCTCCTGTCAGTGATTGACAGCTGATATCAACCAATCATTCGTGTTCAGTTAGAGCAGTGGGCCAATAAGAAGAGCACAAAGGCAGGGCAAGCATTGCAGGCTTTTTACTTCAGCAAGTTCACATGACAACTGTTTATCTGTTCCTGAGTGCTGCGTTTTTAGGTGCAAAGATGCATAAATGTCTCCTAAATCCGCACACGAGGTGAGGACTTTGCAGTGAAAACAATGAAAATGTTTGCACTACAGTGAACCAACCGAACTCTCGTCTCCTCCACCAGCTGTGGTAAAAGCCACTATACCGACACAGATTACTCTGCCTATTCATGCCAGAGTCCCGTGGAAAAAAAAAATTACTGACAGGTGGTCATTTGTTTGTAATTTTATTTATTTATGGTTTGGTTATGGGTAAAGCAAAGACCATGTGGGTCAGGTAGCGAAAACGGTAGGCTACAATTAATTCATTTGTTATGAATTAATTGATATTTAACAACCACCCCCACCCACAACGACGATGACATCGTCCATCACGATGATTTACATTAGACATCATACGATGCCAAATTGGTCAACATCGCTTAACCCTAGTTGGGACAGGAGCAATTTAGAGCTAGTAATCAGGTAAAATGGTTACATGATTATGTGATTTGAAACAGGTGATTGTAATTATGATTTGGTACAAAAGCAGCTAGGGCTGTGTAATTAATCGTAAATTCGGTTTCAACTTCGGCTTCTAAAGATCATGAAAAGTCATTGAGCATCGAGATTAAACGATTATTGCATCATATTATTGCATCCAGTTGTATACAGTTGTTGCTCTGCAAAGTTGTTTCACGTGAAAATGACTAAAAGCATGTACGGCATGTAACTGTTGCAGCACGGCAGAGTACACACATCTAAAGTAATCTTAATGTGAGCGCTTCAATGGTCAAATACATGCAAATTTGCTTTAGATCCAAAAATATGAGGTCTATGAGCGCCTTCAAGTCCAAAACTTGGACACAAGTGGGGTTTGGTATTAAATTTTCTCAGGTCTTAGGTAATTTAAAATAAATGTGCTTTTCCCAAATCTCTTTTATATCTATTTACAATGAACCGCCCACCTTGTTAGAAGAGAATGTAATGACGTTTAAGTGATCATCACTTTGTTATTGAAGAAATTCACCATATACTTGTGCACTGGTGTTAGGTGCATTTTAAGAAAGACCACACACATTTGGGATGCAGCAGGAAATCTACTTGCATCATTATGATGGGCATTCATGCAGGAAAGGGGTTTCTATTTCGCATGCAGAATCTCTTCACCAGATATCAACAAAACAAAATAGTAAACATTAGTAAATATTTAATCCATAATCCTAATTTGAAATTTGAATAATTTATTTTCAAGTCTACAGGTCACAAATGAAAAACCAGACTCAAAAATAACTTGGATCCAACAGGCAGGCTTTTAGGACCCAAAAAGACCCCTGCTGTAGACTTATGTAGAGTTAGACTAAGTGAATGCAGCTGACAAGTTTCAAAGAGAGAGAGAATAGCGTGCACCAAATAAGTCAAAATCTGAAAAAAACGCAAACACCAAAACATAATAAAAGACCAAGACTAAAAGTCAAATCGATGGAGCGATGGAAATTAGAGATGATGGGCACAGCATGATTACTACAATTTAGTTTCTTATATTTCATTGGATTAAATTCTTTATAATGTCTAAAATACAGTTGAAGTCAGAATTATTAGCCCTCCTTTGAGTTTTTATTTTTATTTTTAATATTTTTCAAAATATGTTTAACAGAGCCAGGAAATTTTCACAGCATGTCTGATAATATTTTTTCTTCTAGAGAAAGTCTTATTTGTTTTATTTCGACAATAATAAAAGCAGTTATTAATTTTTTAATCACCATTATAAGGACAAAATTATTAGCCCCTTTAAGCTATATATTCTTTTAATATTGTCTACAGAAAAAAACATTGTTATACAATAACCTGCCTAATTACCCTAACCTGCCCAGTTAACCTAGTTAAGCCTTTAAATTTCACTTTAAGCTGTATAGAAGTGTCTTGAAAAATATCTAGTAAAATATTATTTACTATAATCATGGCAAAAATAAAATAAATCAGTTATTAGAGAATATTTATGAAAATGTGTAGAAATCTGTTAAAAAAATCTTCTCTCCCTTAAACTGAAATTGGGAAAAAAAATAAAGAGTGGGCTAATAATTATGACTTCAACTGTACATAGAAATACAATTTAAAACATTTCAACCTTGAAATGTTTGAAAACCACTGTCAAATAAATGAGGAAAACATTTGATTTTGATTGCTTAATGCTGTCTGTAGTCAATAACTGACCTTACAAAAACACATTATGGTTGTTCTAAACTAGGCAGTGTAACTGCTTTATTTAATAATAATAATAATAATAATAATAATAATAATAATAATAATAATAACTGTAAAATGTGCTTTATTTATTGAAATCTAAAATAACTGCTTACATTCCACAACAATTTAATATGACTAAGACAGCCTACCTAAAGTGACAATGTGATACTGATTTCAAGTGAACTTTAACACTTCTGCGAGTTGATGGGGGTTAAGAGAAAAAATGTAAATAAAAACCCTCACTTGTTTTTAGATAATGCATGATAAAAGGTTTTGTGAATATGAGCCCATGTTGCTAATTAAACTCTGCTTGGAAAAGAACATTCATACTTGAAGTCTTTGCAATCTCGGTCCATTCCATTGAGTAATCCCCTGGCATTTGCTTTTGAGGTATCCCCTTCATCTCCAACTTTCATCTCAGGACTTTTGTTTTCTTCGAAAGGTGAAGACTTCTCTTTTGATTCTCCCTTTTCTCTTCCATCTGGATCTGCATCTGCTTCACCCTGGAATTATCATCAACAAAGTTAAATGTACGTGATTCTTTAGCTGCTTTAAAATGATGACAAGAAAAATTGACTCTATATCTAATCTATATGCAGCAATACTATATGCCTCGGCTGGGTCAATTGGCGTTTCTGTGTGGAGTTTGCATGTTCTCCCTGCGTTTGCGTGGGTTTCCTCCGGGGGCTCCGGTTTCCCCCACAGTCCAGAGACATGCAATACAGGTGAATTGGGTAGGCTAAATTGTCCGTAGTGTAAGAGTGTGAATGTGTGTGTGGATGTTTCCCAGAGATGGGTTGCAGCTGGAAGGGCATTCACTGCGTAAAACATATGCTGGATAATTTGGCGGTTCATTCCGCTGTGGTGACCCCAGATTAATAAAGGGTCTAAGCCGAAAAGAAAATGAATGAATAACGTACAAAGATATATGTGAAAAATTATCTGAGCAGTTGGATTAGCTGAAATTAGTTCATATTTTACTTTTATTTTACTTACTTATATATTTTAAAATAACCTAAAAATAGGTTTAAGAGAGTATTAATGTATTAATGTTCAATAACAGTGATAAGAAAATCACAAACTCACATAGCCTCCATTCCTGTAGCGACCATCCATCTTGTCTCCAGGGGAGGAGCTGAGGACATACTCCACCATACTCACACCAAGACCACCCCCCTCTGAGCGTGGGGACAGCACTGAGCTCGTCTCTCCAGTCCCATTGTAGCCTTGGCCTGGTCGCTTCTGCACCATAATGGGTTGAGAGAGAGCATGATCTATACACAACAGAAAAAAAAGAATACCAATCGCATTATTATGACAGCAAGAGGACTAATACTTAAGCCTTATATATATATATATATATACAACAGTTCTGTCTGGTTCTCGAATCTGATTGGCTGATAGCCATGATATATTTAAGTAATATCAGCATCCGTAAAGCCTCATTACCCTTTTGTGTATCACTCCAACTTTGTGTATTAAGCAGGTCGCACACCAGAAGCGCTGAAGTAGACTGAAATGTTATTATTCGATTTCTGTGTTATTTTGCCATGACATAATGAGTTCAGCAGTAAACTATAGTTTCTGACATACATGATCCTGGTGGAACACTGTTTATTCGCTAAGTTCAGGGCTTTTTTCGGGCTTTATTAGTTTGCTGATACACGCCTAGCCACCCAGATAGCAAAACACAGTTCCGGCTAGATTCTCGCCTGCCGGAGACTTATCTCTTAGAGCTCAGACTGACTAATGTTACCTCTGCTGGACCTACTCCGGATGCCTGGACTCACTACCCAATTCCAGCCCGAGTCAATCGAGCCAGATGCGGCGGCCGAGCGAGCAGGCGCTGCCGCATGCGAGCCGGAATCAGCCCGCGACGCCGCGAGTAGGTTATGCGCTGCGGCCTGGAGCTGGCGCGATTGAATATATAAAACCCTCATATTTGTTAACGTTATTACATCCATTTGTGTTGATATGACAGCAAACGCATGCTGAGAAGTTCGGGGGGCGTAGTTGATTTTACATAAAGCGTTTGATTGGAAGCTCGACTCTGCTCATTTTCGCGGCTCCTCCTCTGGCTCCATCAGACAATCCTTCTGCGCATGTCTGGCTCCAATTTCAGCAGTCTTTTGCGACAGTTTGTGCCCGTCAAGCAGGCGTTTTGCCCTCAAGGCGTTCAATGGGAAAAAGGGCTGTCGCGTCGTCCATATTTTTTACAGTCATTGGGATACACACACCGGTGCCGCAAGTCGGCGGCCCCCGGCCAAGGCTTAGAGCGCAGTTCATTTTTCAGCCGCGTCACAGAGCGCCATCTGATTAGTTTCATGTTAAATATCATTCGAATGTGCCCGTCTTATGTGTGATACTTCAAACTGTCATGTGCGCGCCGTGTTGCGGCGCTTCTGGTGTGCGACCTGCTTTACTCATATTTTTGCCAGCAAAAAGCAGACACTACAGATCTAAAGTTTAAAAGATGCAAGCTCAACTGTTTAACTGTCAGCTTATGATTTGAATCCGGAAGAAAGTAGTTCCTCATACAAAAGGGTTTTTGAGACTCTCCATGTTTGATTTTGTTTTTATATACACAATTATGCCGTCAAACAAACGTTGTCACAAATATCACACGAGTAGCAGTGCGATATGGCTGTATATCAGCACTGGTGGGGGCACTAAGGCACTTGGCCTGCGACCTCGTGCTAATATTTTGCTGCACATTTACATATATTGTACTATTAGTTACAATTTCTTCTAGAGCACTTTATACAGTGTAGATTGAAGCCAGATTTATATAATGTTTTGCCAATTTGATCAGCTGAATTATCCTGTTGCTAATGAATCTGCATCAAAAAATCTGCCGCCTATGGATACATTTTTTTTTACAAAACATATGACACAGATAAAATGCTTGAAATTGTGTAATTACTTAGTCTCTATTTTTTACTACTGGTGACCACCTAACCTTTGAACTCATTAAGCAGGTCTCTTATTGAGGCAGCAGCATTCAAGTTGTGTTCAAGACTTGCCTTAACTGGTAAGTTGCTAACTAGTTTGTTAATTAGTTAATAAAAAATGTCCCCATATGTTTCCAGGGTTTTCACACAAAAACCCCTATAAAATCTACAAATGACCCCCTGCATTCAGCTCATTAATTGCTTATGAGACTTTTAATGTTGATACTACTGGATGAATGGGAGATGAGTAAATTACGAGGATACTTTCATTCTTGAAATGATATTTTTAATAATGCTATACTTGTCCATAAACAAAGTGTACACTAAAAAGATTATCAACAAATAATCAATTGTCAATAACATTAGCATCCCTAGTAGGAATCAAAGTATAATGAAACAAACACTGTAGCATTTAAGAAAAACTTACGAGAAGAACTCCAGGCATTCTCTCTCCATTCTTCACCCACAAGCATTGCTTTACGTCCATCTTTTGCCAATTCATCTGATTCCCACAATTTTTTTGCAGGAAGTAGCTGCAAAAAGAAGCAATAAGGCAACTGCTTGTTACAAAATGCATAAAACCATCGGTGAAAAAATATCAAGACGTTAACATACATTATATTAATTTAATAACTTTGCAACTCTTATAAATAAAAAGAATGCATAGCTAAAGAATTTATAAGGATCTTTATACTTAATATATGACTTTATCACATACTTCACCCATTCCGCGAGACTCCAGAGCCAATGCTTGAAAGTTATAGTTCATCTCATCCACAGAGCGCAACTAAAAAAAAAAAGAAAAACATTTGCCACATTTTGGTAATATTGAATCAAATTTAATGTTGGAGATTGATCAAACTGAAACAGCAGCAGAACATTAAACAATATTTAAGCACTACAGTCACACACCTTCACTTTTGGATATTTGTGGTGGCTGTATTTCTTGCTTTGATCCCTGAACTGCTTCTTGTTTTATAATTGTTTGCACAGCCACCAGATCTAAATATTATTGAGCCAATTAGCAGGACTTGTGTCTGTGATTCCCAAGACGGATTGAAGCTCTCTTGGCCACAAAAAGAGAGCCTACTCCAGGGCTATGCAATTGGCGGCCCAAGGGCCGAACCCAGCCCCCGAGGCAATTTGTTCCGGCCCTCCAAACAGTGTGACCAAGACATCAAAAATAAATTGAGGTCTTATAAACAAAAGTCTATTGGCACAATTTTCACACCATTAGGTCAACATGGTCTGAAGATGAGTCGAGTCAAATTTGGTGAAATTTTAGCAAATGGCCTAGGAGGAGTTTGCAAATAAAGTTTTTGAACAAAATCAATATGGTGGACAGGAAGTTTAGCCTAATATGCCATATTTGGTATCAGTGTACTTGGAATGAGCAAAGAAATAATAAGTTGAGATCAATTTTATCACAATAAACATGCACAGTCTAAAGTTATTAGCACATTTTTATTCATTATTGATGGCTTGTGAATGGTTTATAACTCGTGACCAATAAGTGGCGCTGTTACCAAATGTGTGTGTTTGGGTCAATGCGAGTTGCCATTGACACATTAAAAGTTCAGTGTCAATATGTTGAAGCATTGCAGAGTTGCAGCCTCAGATGCACTTTGACATTGTGATATCATATTTGTCCATGGCATAAATTACAACCGTTTTGCTGATCTATTTGATTTCCATTTTTTCTTTGTCAGCATCGTCTGAAATTTGTTATTAAAACTATTTTATTTTATATATATATATATATATATATATATATATATATATATATATATATATATATATATATCAAGCCTCCTTTCTTCCTCCGACACTCCCCCCTAAACAAAGCTGGACACGCCCACTTGTGAAAACACCCTGCTGAAACGAGGGGGTTTCATGGCCCTTTAATACTGAAATAGGGGTTCAAGGTTTTAATAATATTAGGGGAACCTACTGTCTTAAAAAATGTTTACACAAGGGCTGGAAAGAGAATTTTCATGTGCATTTTGTCACTAAAGACAGCTCTTAAAGGCAGTAATTATCCAGCACATGCTTTATGATAAAACAGCATATATTACAAAACGTTGTAGTACACTGAAAAACTAAGTAAAATCTATTTAATTGAATGATAATGAATCAAGAAAATCATTCCGCAATAATGGCAGCCGATTTCATACCTGGTCAACATGGTTTCCATCACCAGTGGGCCAGCGGTGTTTGTTGCCAGTGCAGCCTCCCATTTGCTCTCCAGGCTGCCTTTGAAAGAAATAGCCCACAGTGGCATCATCTTGTGAACGACCACTCAGAAGAGGCTGGGTGCAGGGGTTGGGATTGGCCATTCCCTGCAAAGGGTGAACTCCTCCAGGTACCTGCCTGGCACCTCCAACCGTGGCTAGAGGACACCCTGCATGGACTCTGACCCCACCAGTTTCTGGTGCACCATTGGTGTGCAGCGTTCCACATTGTGTCTCCTGCCAGGGTACGTCATTCATACCTAGGATGCTGCATGGAATGCTCATTCCACGGAAAGAACCTAAAGAAATAAAAAAGGAGCAGTGAAGTTAAACAGCAGTTTAAAAGTGCATATGCCTCTTTGCATTATATTCATCCTGATTAATGATATATTGCATATATAATTAAAAAAACACACTACACTCTGATGCTCCTAAATTTGCTCTAAAATGTTTAACTGCTCCAACATTTTTTGATTATGAGCACAAGTGCTGCTAATTTGAAAAAGTTAGCCAAGAGCCAAGTTCATCGGTCTTTTTCATAGAATGCTAAATTACCCATTAGGCTTTATGCATACACTTAGGGTGGATGCTCCAACTTCCAGTTGGCAGCTTAATGCATTACAGAGTTACATGCGCGTACGTAAGAGTTTGTTCTCTTAAACTTGTCATTCTGTTAACGAATGGGCTATATGCACAACTAGTATTTTTCAGCCAACGATAAACTTGAAAGGTTAATGTGACCATTTTCAATTTCATAAGTTTACCACCACTGTGGAATCATATTCAAAAAGACTTGAGGCTGTAATTGCTGCCAAAGTTGCATCAAAAAAGTATTGAGCAAAGGCTGTGAATTCTTATGTACATGTGATTTTTCAGTTTTTTATTTTTAATAAATTTGCAACAAACTTTTTTCACACTGTCATTATAGGGCTTTGTGTGTAGAATTGAGGAAATAAATTAATTTAATCCATTTTGGAATAAGGCTGAAACATTAAAAATGTGGAAAAAGTGAAGCGAGTATTCATATCGCTTCACTTTTTGAAGCGATATATATATATATATATATATATATATATATATATATATATATATATATATATATATATATATATATATATATATATATATATATATATAACAGGTGGGCATAGAATTTTTTTTTAATCTAGATTAATCTTGTAATTAAACTAGATTAATCTAGATTAAAATGGCCCATTTGAATTCTGCCGAAGGCTTTCAGAATGTGTGTGCTACCAAAATAATGAGTCTTTAAGAACAGGTTTCTCAAGCCAGGTAGCGCATTAGACCAGGGGCTCATCTCCTTCGATTCATTTGTTTGTTACTTTTTGGCTCAGCTCTTTCCCGTCATATTGAGCTATACCTCCTCAAGTTCACTCTTCTCCCAGAATAAGGTGGATAGGGAAGATGTCATACGACTTCCATTTTTGAACACGTAGAAAATGTATTGTTAAAGACATCAGGTAAGAGGTGAACGTCATCTTTGTTTTATTTATTTTTTTATCTACAGTTCAGTATATGGAAGAATACAGCGCTGAAGAGCTTTCTTTTCTTTTCATCACTTTCTAGCCAGGTAAGAGGGGTTATTCGTGAGTTAGAATGGTTTTGTTTTACTTCTTTCTTTTGTTTGGCGTCAATATCGTCCCCTTACTCGAGTTGAACTATTTTTTATTTGATACTTTGTTAGAATTTGCTACTTTATAGTATTCTTTTTATTATTGTAAATATTTCTCTTTTTTTGTATATATTTGGCCATTTTTTCAGGTTTTACTTTTGTACATTAAATCACTTTTTTTGGCAGTTCTGTTGTCTTTTGCTTACACCCTCACATTGTGAAATTACCAAACTTTTTAAATGTTATTCCTTGTAAGTAAGTTTCGTGAAACAATTAAGACACAGTGTGGACTTCGAAGTTACGACACAAATTCCATTCCTGTACTCCACTGGAAAACCAAAATGTTCCCATACAGGCGACTTAAATGTGTCTGGGGGATCTGCAATCTTAATACTATGCGAAGCATCCATCCTGCGTATACAGTAGTAACCGAGTGTGATCGCTCACTCAAGTCACATGACATTACATGCACTTGGAAAATACTAACTTTAGAATATAACATTTAGAACAAAATCTCATGATTACTAATACAATTTAATAAAATGTGATAAAGATGTGTTTTAATTGGTTCAATAAATTAGAGACAAGTGATGTCAACCTCAACAATGGGCAGCAGGGGGTGTGAGAGTACCACGATACGTATCGTGGTTGTTGTATCGTGATATTTCAGTTTGGTTTTAAATATTGTTACACATCTACCTTTCACACATAAAGACCTTTCCGAAAAATTACCTGCAATTTTCTGGAAAGGTCTGTATGTGTGAACAGGCTCTTTTTAAAAATACTGGTAAATTAGTTTTGGCTATTTTCCGGAAAAAGAAGTTGAAACATTACCAGTAATTCACAGAAATGCTGCACTGTGTGAACGCAGAAGGAAAATTGCCGGAAAGATCGCGTTCACGTCTAGAACGTGCTGACTTTAGACGTCTACTCCAGCCAATCAGAATATTTTGACGCATTCACGTCTGCGCGGTTTATGAATATAAAAGTCTTTGAATATTTTTCTAGATGTTAGTAAGATAACGATTTATTGTTCCTTCTTAATGCCAACTGTGTAAAACATTATCTATAAAATGCGTATGAAAAGCAGTTGTTTGTTTACTTTCAAGCTCTGCTTTCTTCAGTTGCTTGATGCGTCGCGTGTGCCCATGAAGCAGCCAGTGACCACCAGCACACACACACACACACACATTATGTATATTTTGACATGTGAACGTGTTTTTCTATTTGTTTTCATCGAAGTTGTTCACAACATATATCCATCCACCGAGTTTGTAATGTCTTCAAATGATTACAAATACAAGCGCAGCCATTTAGTGGTCATTTCTGGTTAATGATGTCAGAATTTACCGATATTTTGGAATGGATGTGTGAACAGTCTTTTCCGGAACAATTCCGTATTGTCCTTGCCTGTGTGAACAGCGCTTTTTTGAAATTACCGGTAAAGTCGTTCCAGCAATTTTCCGGCTATTTACTGGTATCACTGTGTGAAAGGGGCTATTGACATCATGGGGTACGTTTGAATCGGCTTGAGACAAGGAATTTTGATTGTAGCCCATTCGGTCCAAAAGCTGCACTATTAATCATAAAAAACACCAACGCAACAAAAATAAATGGTTTACGTGTTTATTAATCCTTCCATGCATGGCATTCAAATCTGTATTTGATCGAGAAGCTTCAGGTTTTTAGTTACTAAAGTTACAATCAAATATCACAGAAGTACTGGCATAACAATTTATACTTCAGATATAAGCACTGATGTTTTTGGTAAAGATTAAAACCACAGTTTAGTGCAAGGTGGATACATATTGGATCCAAAAAAAATGGTCCGTTCCGTGACTCGAACCTTAAGATTTGTGATGATCTACAACACTATGTAAAATTATACCCACAATTTCCATATCAATAATGTTCTTAAAAATAAAAATGCCTATATATATATATATATATATATATATATATATATATATATATATATATATATATATATATATATATGACCAATTCCATGCAAATGTCAACCTTGCCCTGAAAAAATTTTTAGTTTTACCAAAATACCGAAATCGTTTCTACGTTTTTTTGTGTGTGTAAGCAGGTATTTTACAGTAATTTAGAGATACTCAAAAATATCTTTCAATGTTTTCAAATTTATTCATTCATTCATTTTCTTGTCGGCTTAGTCCTCTCATTAATCCGGGGTTGCCACAGCAGAATGAACCGGCAATTTATACAGCACGTTTTTACGCAGAGGATGCCCTTTCAGCTGCAACCGATCTCTGGGAAATGTTTTCAAACTTATATTTAATTTACCAAAGTCACTCAAATGGAAATTTCACGTCACATCCATAACAATTTTACCTCATAAATGCAAAAATATGAAATAAAATCTATAATTTTTGTTCTATAGAGAGCCGACTCTTATCCTTTTGATAAGCATTGTTTCCTTTGGGTTGTGCCATTAAATTAACAGAATTTCTACAAAGTATGTTTTATACTGTAAACTTGCAGACTATTTAATCACATCCATAAGGCATGTTTAATTTCCTAGTTTAAATTACAAAACATGTTGACAGATTGATATTTTTCTGATCGCATAACTCTGTGGTCAGTTGTTCTGGAAAATATAAACAGATGATTCAATATAATATTAACATATACTTTCTATGTAAATTAATGTTTTGCGTTTTTACTGCAAATGTCACATTAATATCGCTGACATTGCTCATATATATATATATATATATATATATATATATATATATATATATATAAACATAAAAAATAAATAATAAAAATAATAATCAATGAATAACATCAATAACTAAACCTTTCAGCCTAATATTTAAAGGGAAAACACGATCGATAATCAAGTTAAGTAAATGCACTTTAATAAAGACTCTAAATCACGCGTTTGTATGGGATTGTTTTGGGTGGACAGATATGATGCTAACGGCTAACACTCCAACGAAATACGGTGCTAAAAACATATAGTATAAAGTTACCTAAAATTACGTATACACTGTTTCTTTTATTTTTCGTATTTTAAGATATAGACGTGAGATTACGACACTAAACTCTTTAACGTTAGTCTAATCGGAGTTCTCATTTGGTCGATGTAGCCTGTTGTTTGTTAGCATCACAGGGCCCGTAACTCTGCCAGCTAATCCTGAATAGCATCTCCTCAACAGCCATAGCAAGAGAGGGTACTTTTAACACAATATCCGATTAATTCGTATTTAAAACTTATATGGCCCATTTTAACTAATAACGTCCAGCAAAACATTTTAAGCAGGACAACTTATGACATGTTTGTCTATGATAGTGCTCCAGCCTCTTTGTTGAATAAACAACACACAGGCCTCTCATCTCATAAAGTTAATTTCACAAACAATGAACATTTTAAACAGTTTCACATCTCAACACATTTACCTCACACCAATAACACAAAGAGTCAGGTAACGTTATGTTAGTTTCACGGTAAACTTTTAAATGACGCCCCGTATCTTTTTACTGATAGACTAACAACATGGCCCTCTACTCTCGAGCCCCAAAACAAAAGGGACAATTGACGTTCCTGCTCTGATATATTCATACTCACGCTCTTTGAGTGATGATGTTCAAGCCCTGATGATTCAAGGTTGAGATGGAAGCGGTGCTGCGTACAACTTTTCGTTTCCGTGGAGATGCGTATGCGTACGCTTGCGCACGCGCACCCACACTGTGCCCAGGTGGAGACCGAGGAACACTTCCTCGCATGCTGCACAAACTATCAGCACATCAGAGAAACATTCTACCCCAAACTCCAGTGCATTTACCCTCAATTCAGTAAGTTAGACAATAAAACACGACTTCGATATTTACTAGGGGAAACACAAAACACATCGCTTGCAAACATCTAAATTATTATAAATGATTCATTGTAATCATATTGATTATCATTGTTTTATCTTTATTCTATTCTAAAATGTTGATTGTTAAATGTACAGTTTATTCTGATCTATTATTATATATTTTATTGGTATGAATAATATGGCCAATGCAGTGGCGTAGTGCTGTCACCTCACAGCAATAAGGTTGCTGGGTCGCTGGTTCGAACCTTGGCTCAGTTGGCGTTTCTGTGTGGAGTTTGCATGTTCTCCCTGTGTTCGCGTGGGTTTCCTCCGGGTGCTCCGGTTTCCCCCACAGTCCAAAGACATGTGGTACAGGTGAATTGGGTGGGCTAAATTGTGTGTAGTGTATGTGTGTGTGTGAATGTGTGTGTGAATGTTTCCCAGAGAAGGTTTGCGGTTGGAAGAGCATCCACTGCATAAAAACGTGTTGGATAAGTTGGCGGTTCATTCCGCTGTGGCGACCCCGGATTAATAAAGGGACTAAGCCGAAAAGAAAATGAATGAATGAATAATATAATTTTTGTTTACTATTACAAGGTGACACAGTGGAGCAGTAGGTATTGCTGTCGCGTCACAACAAGAAGGTCGCTGGTGCAAGCCTCTGGCGTTTCTGTGTGAGGTTTGCATGTTCTCCCAGCGTTCGCGTGTGTTTTCTCCGGGTGCTCCAGTTTCCCCCACAGTCCAAAGACATGCAGTAAAGGTAAATTGGGTAGGCTAATTTGTTCGTAGTGTAGGCTGTGTGTGTGGATGTTTCCCAGAGATGGATTGCGGCTAGAAGGACATAAAAACGTGTTGGATAAGTTGGCGGTTCATTCCGCTGTGGCGACCCCGAATTAATAAAGGGACTAAGCCGAAAAGAAAATGAATGAATATTACCACTACTGTTTACTGTGTTCACTATGTTTTGTTCATGTTCTTTTTTAACGTACGGTTTATAAATGTCATGGCAATAAAGCAATTACTATATATATATATATATATATATATATATATATATATATATATATATATATATATATATATATATATAGAGAGAGAGAGAGAGAGAGAGAGAGAGAGAGAGAGAGAGAGAGAGAGAGATCAGTTCACCTACAGAGGTACAGTTCTAGAGCACTGCAGCAGCTACACTTACCTGGGCATCCAGATCCACTTCTGGGGGCTTCAGTCTCGCGCTTTGGCCAATTACAGATACCAACTAAAACATGGATTAAATTATATCGCTCTGTTATATCAAACCAATTTTATATATTGGGGACCAGTATTAAAATTTGAAAATTTGAATAAAAGTTTAATTAAACGAACACAATTTGAATTTTCTAAAAACATAATACATATCCACAGAAACACCTCTAACATTGCCTGCAGGGCAGAACTGGGATTCAATTAAATTCAGTTCAGCTTTATTTGTATAGCACTTTTACAATGTAGATTGTGTCAAAGCAGCTTCACATAAATGGTCATAGTAACTGGATCAGGGTAGTTCAGTTTTTAGTGTTTAAGTTCAGTTCAGTTTAGCTCAGTTCAGTGTGGTTTAAAGTCATTACTGAGAGTCCAAACACTGAAGAGCAAATTCATCGATGCATAGCTCTACCGATCCTGAAGCATGTAAGCCAGAGGCGAAAAAAAATTCACTGATAGGAGAGTGAAGGAAAAAAACCTTGAGAGAAACCAGACTCAGTTGGGCACGACCATTTTAATTTCTCCGCTGACCAAAGTCTTGTGCAGTCTTGTGTGGGATCCCAACAAACACACAATGTTGCCTCAACATAGCGACCTTCCTACAACGTTGTACCAACCTTGTAAAAAGGTTGAGGATCTATGTTGTTGCTGAAGGTTGTCACAACGATGTCATAATGTTGCTAAAGCAGCATGAGACCACTGTACAAAATTTACTCGTCATCAATGAATCAGTTTGAATTTAAACAGACCGTTCAGCGTCTCATTCAACAACGATAGAGGAGACGTGAGTATTGCTTTTTTCTTCTTGATGAATAAAACATCATTTGTGTAGTCCTGTTGTGTCAAGCTCTGAGTTGTTTTCTCTTTTTCTCTGCATATTTTGACTTGTGGCTGCTGTTGATGCATCTCTGAACTGGATTCTCTGTTGGATTTGTTTCTTTCTCTGACTGCATTCTCCACTACGCCTGGCCTTCGGCTGCACTCCACGGGCTGCTGCATTCTCCAGTTCAGAGCTTCAACGATAGAAAACTCTGAAGAAAATTCAAACTCATTTGAACCCATCCTCAAGCAAAACCTTCTCAAATACATTGACAAAACATTAAATATGATTATTTTGGAAAACTAAAAACTGAATTCAGCCTCCAAACTAAACTTCAATGTTACTCGACCCTAAACAGAACCACACAGTTGGCCAATTATTTAACATATAAACAATTAAAAGAAAAACATATTCTTTCTAAATATCGCCTGTGTAATCATGACCTAGAAATAGAAAAGGGCAGACATAAAAAATCCTGGACTCCTCAAGAACAGAGAATATGTAAACAATGTGACACAAATCAAATAGAGGATGAGACACACCTCATTATGTTCTGCCCCAAATACACCACAGCATGCTGGTCACCAGCATAACAGCACCAGCATCCCATGCTGGTCACCAGCATACCGGTATCAAAACACAACATATGGATGTGACCAGCATATGGGATGCTGGTCCTGGGATACTGGTCACCAGCATGAGATGCTGGTGCTGGTATGCTAGTAACCAGCATGGGATGCTGATGCTGGTAAACAGCATGATATGCTGGTGCTGGTCACCAGCATCCCGTGCTGGTAACATTAAAATCTGTGTAAGTTAACATTTTTTGCATGGTAGCCTGTTCATGATGAAAATCATGAAAACGCAAACTTTCATTCATTAACATTATATGTTTTTATTTATATAATTAATAATGATGATATCATAAAAATAGTAATTCATTCATTCATTTTCTTGTTGGCTTAGTCCCTTTATTAATCCGGGGTCGCCACAGCGGAATGAACCGCCAACTTATCCAGCAAGTTTTTACGCAGCGGATGCCTTTCCAGCCGCAACCCATCTCTGGGAAACATCCACACACACATTCACACACTATGGACAATTTAGCCTACCCAATCCACCTGTAACGCATGTCTTTGGACTGTGGGGGAAACCGGAGCACCCGGAGGAAACGCACGCGAAGGTGGGGGGAACATGCAAACTCCACACAGAAACCTTGCTGTGAGGCGACAGCACTACCTACTGCGCCACTGCCTCACCTTAATAATAATAATAATAGTAATACTACTAAAAATAATGGGTAAACATGAACACAAAACCTTTTTTTTTTTTTTTACAAAACAACAACAACACACTATCTCAACAAGTAAATTAAAAACAACCCTTTATAATAGGCCAGGCAACACTACACACAATGGACTATTCACTAAGCATTAGCAATTGTGAATTTATTATTTGTTAAGCATTAACTAAACATTAATAGGCATTAGTAAGCAGTTTATAAATACAGCTACACATGCTGTATTCTTGACTTATAACCACGTGTATAGTGTGCCTAATGATTGCGATTTCATACTTTCTTAAGTATTTTTTCATTACTAAATTCAGTATTGCATTATTAACAAACCAGTTATTTAAAATACCTTTTTTTTAGATAATTCAAATGCATAATTATATGATAAATAAAATAATTTGTATGTTAATAAATGCTTTATTAACTCGACTTCATCAAGTTTTGTGACTTTTTAAAGTTAATAAAGCACTTAACATACAAAGTAACTATTACTATATGACTAAGTAATAAGATATGTTTAAAAATGTAAATTAAAAAACAAATGTCTTGATCTTAAAAAAAAAAAACACCAGCTATTCTTAAGTAACTGGCTTGCAGATTATGCAATACAACATTTAGTAATGTAAAATAAATCATTAACAAAGTATGAAAACAATCATTATGCACATTATACATGCTGTATTTATAAACTGCTTACTAACATCCATTAACAAAGAGTTAGTGCTTAACAAATTATGAATTCATTATTTGCTAATGCTTAATAATACTTAAAAAATAATTCATAGTGGGGTTATTAACTCATTTACATCATAAATCAATTAACTGTTCAATTTTTTGTTGTTGTTTTTTTTAAAGTCCATGATTTTTTCCGTAATGTAGCGTCCAGCCTTTACAAATCTGGCCTGCAGCTCTGGCTCCTCATGCCCCCAGCCACTCCTTGAAGCAGGCTAAAACAAAAATGTACAGATAAGCAGTGATTTTACTGTCCTACAAGAACAAAGACACACTTATTACTTGGTGGGGAATTCCTTCCCTGTTAGACTTCTCTTCCCTAGAGTCTCCAATATTTCTCCAATAATTCTTTCACAAATAAAGAATCCCTGGTGTTTTTACCTGCTGCTTAGGTATCACTGCGGATTTGGATGTCTCCAAGTTTCACCAATTGAATCTGACAGAATTAGTATTATCAAAAAATAATAATTGTACATATGCACATAAGTCTGTGCAGTAGGGGATTATAATATTAATACATGTGCAAAGATGATGAGGGAAATGCTGTACCTCATCTTCCTTTTCTTACAGTCAGCCTCTGCAACTATATATATATGCAATATCACACTATAGTAGCAGTGCGATATAGCTGTATATCGGCACTGGTGGGAGGCCGCAGGCCGAGTACGTTAGTGCCCCCACCAGTGCCGATATACAGCCATATCGCACTGCTACGAGTGTGATATTGCGTTTATACAACAGTTTGACGGCATAATTGTGTATATAAAAACAAAATCAAACATGGAGAGTCTCAAAAACCCTTTTGTATGAGGAACTACTTTCTTCCGGATTCAAATCATAAGCTGACAGTTAAACAGTTGAGCGTGCATCTTTTAAACTTTAGATCTGTAGTGTCTGCTTTTTGCTAACTGTATGTGGGCGGAGTAATACACAAAGGGTAAAGAGGCTGTAAGAGTTCTGATATTGCAGAATGTCGCACGGCTATCAGCCAATCAGATTTGAGAACCAGACAGAACTGTTGTATAAATTATATATATGTATATATATATATATGTATATATATATATATATATATATATATATATATATATATATATATATTTGTAAATATATATTTATAGCGTTCAGCCTTTACAGATTTGTAAAGGCTGGACGCTACATTACGGAAAAATTCATGGACATTAAAAAACAACAACAAAAAAAATTAACAGTTCAATTCAATTCAATTCAGCTTTATTTGTATAGCGCTTTTACAATGTAGATTGTGTCAAAGCAGCTTCACATAAATGGTCATAGTAACTGGAACAGTGTGGTTCAGTAACTGGAACAGTGTAGTTCAGTTTTTAATGTTTAAGTTCAGTTCAGTTTAGCTCAGTTCAGTGTGATTTAATCATTACTGAGAGTTCAAACACTGAAGAGCAAATTCATCGATGCGTAGCTCTACCAATCCTGAACCATGCGAGGCAGTGGCGACAGCGGAGAGGGAAAAAAAAACTTCACCTGATGGGAGTGAAGAAAAAAAACCTTGAGAGAACCAGACTCAGTTGGGCACGACCATTTTAATTTCTCCGCTGGCCAAAAGTCTAGTGCAGAACTTCATTCGTCGTGGTTTAGGCTGGAAGATGGCCTCAGCGAAGACTCGTCTGTCCCTGGAGCGTCGCTGGAATCAGACTCATGTTCTCCACTCCCCACGACCATCAGCGCAGCAGCAGCTCAGGATATGGCCTGGTCCCGGATATGGAATCCTTGGGATCATCACGTCGCTGGTCTTGGATCCAATCAGTGACTCCGCATAATCTGAGGACCTCGGGATGAGTATCCCCAGGTGAAAATAGAGAATAAAGAAAATAATTAGCGTAGCTGCTGTTCATAGTGTATATAAGCAAGATGTAGGAGCCAGTGTGGAACCCGCTAGGTGATGCATTGAGAGTATGCTTTACTAAACAGATAGGTCTTTAATCTAGTTTTGAACTGGGAGAGTGTGTCTGAGCCTCGGACGTTATCAGGAAGGCTATTCCAGAGTGTAGGAGCCATGAAAGAGAAGGCTCGACCTCCTTTACTTGATTTTGCTATTCTAGGTACTACCAGAAGCCCTGAATTTTGAGATCTTAAAGAGCGAGTTGGTTTGTAGCGAGACAGAAGGTTGGTTAGATAAACAGGAGCTAGATTATTTAGAGCTTTATAGGTGAGAAGTAATATTTTAAATTCAATACGAAACTTAACAGGCAGCCAGTGTAAGGAGGATAAAATTGGGGTTATATGATCATATTTTCTAGACCTGGTCAGAACTCTGGCTGCTGCATTTTGTACTAATTGAAGTTTGTTAATAGAGGATGCTGGGCAGCCAGCAAATAGAGCATTACAGTAATCCAGTCTCGAAGTCATAAAAGCATGGACTAGCTTTTCTGCATCTGAGATGGAAAGCGTATTTCGTAATTTAGCGATATTTCTCAGATGAAAGAAGGCAGTTTTTGTGACATGGGATATATGGTTTTTAAAAGTTAGATTGCTGTCTAATATGACACCCAGATCTTTTATAGTAGAGCTAAAGCTAACTTTGTATCCTTCTAATTGTAAATTGAGTTGCGAGATCTGCTGTGTGCAAGATTTAGGCCCAATAAGTAACAATTCTGTTTTGTCTGAGTTTAAGAGAAGAAAATTGTCGGTCATCCAGTCTTTGATGTCTTTGATACACTCAGTTAGTTTAGAAAGTTCAGACGTCTCGTCAGGTTTAGTTGAAATATATAATTGAGTATCATCTGCATAGCAGTGAAAGCTGATCCCATGTCTTCTAATAATGTCTCCCAGAGGTAGCATATAAATTGTAAACAGTAAAGGGCCTAAAACTGATCCTTGAGGCACCCCATACTTTACTGGGCAGATTTGTGAAGGCTGTCCATTAAGATTCACAAACTGGTAGCGGTCAGTTAAGTATGACTTAAACCATTGTAGAGCCTGTCCCTGGACACCTGTAGACTTTAAGCGATTTATGAGGATATTGTGGTCTATGGTATCAAATGCCGCACTAAGATCGA